GCGGCGCGGCGGGGCCCTGAGCCATGGCCGCTGAGCCTGCGCGACCGGAGCCTGTACTCCACAGCGGGAGGGGCCGCATCAGTGAGAGGCCCGTGTACCGCAAAAAAAAAAAAAAAAAAAAAAAAAAAAAAAAACCAGCACTTGTTCATTATCTCACAGTTCCGGAGGCCTGACGTTGAGGCAGGGTGTGACTAGCTTGCCTGACGTTGAGGCAGGGTGTGACTAGCTTCTCTGCTCAGAGTCTCCCAGACTAAATCAGGGTGTTGATCAGGCTGCATTCCTTTCTGAAGGCTCTGAGGAAAAAGTCCTTCCAAGCTCATTCAGGTTGCTGGCTGAATTCAGTTCCTTGTGGTTGTAGGACTAAGGTCTCCATTTCCTTGCTCTCAGCCAAGGGCCAACCTGAATTGCTTGCCACATGGCCCCCTCCATCTTCAAAGCCAGCAGCAGAGAATTTCCTTGGGTTGAGTCCATCTCACACTACAATCTACTCTTCAGGAAAAGCCCAGTCCCTTTTAAGGATTCACTTGATTAGGTCAGGTCCACACAGAATAAAGTCAACTGTGCCATATTCACAACCTAATCATGGTGGTGACTGTCCCATTATATTTACAAGCTCCCACATTTTACAGGAATATGTACAGCAGGGGGCAGGAAATGGGGCAATCTTACACTTCCGACTACCTCACATACTAAGAAGACAAGCCATGTATGTGGCTCGTAACCCAAGTAAATGCTTAGTATTTATTTTAGCTGCCATATTGATCTAGATGAGTGGTTCTAAAGGTATGGGCTGGAGACCTCTGAAGGTCTCTGAGAACTTTCAGGATGTCCATGAGATCAAAAGTAGTTTTAGACAAATACTAGACAAGACTTGCTTTTCCCACTCTCATTCTCTTACAAGTATTCACTGGAGTTTCCCAGAAGTTACATGACACATGATACAACAGACTGAACGCAGAGATACGAGAATCCAGCTTCGTCTTGCTAAAGCCACCTGTTAAAGAGACGTGCAAAAATGTAAAACAATGCCCTTCTCACTATTTGTTTTGTTTTGGAAACAATTTTATTTTTCACTTTGGAAATGAGTTATTTTTCATAAAATTACGATATTTATGTTAACCTGTAGTCAATGTGTTGTTATTTTTAGATGAATTAATTTTAAAAGTTTTTTAAATTGTTTTAATTTCTACACAGTAACCACCTGTAGATGCAACCACATAAACAACGGCTCTTTGAGGTCTTCAGTGGCTTAAAAAAATACGAAGTACTGGCAACAAAAGGTTTGAGAACCACTGAGCTAGAGGAAACACAGCCTCCAGTTTGAGCTATCCTTTTTTATTTCCATAAATGTTCCACTGCCTCCTTCACTCAAAAGATTCATCACCCCTCCCAAGACCCCATTGGTGGAGTATTTGGGGCACAGTACATTTTTGCTCATTTCAAAAGACGTTAAATATAATTTAATAAAGTGATTGAGATCATTTGATAAGGTGCTGCTCATGTATGGTTATTTCCTGGGATCTATATTTTGTCAATTCCTATGAAGAATTCATCACCCAGTTATAACATTGCCCCTTTGGAGAAACAGTCAGATTTTTAGTGCCTTATGTGTGATGTGGTTTCCAAGAACACGCCTCTGCTTGCCAGGCTTTGGGGGGTCCCGAGTGGTGGGGGGCACACCTGTACCAGAGCTGTGATTTTTGGCAGCCTGATCACATGGTGCGTGATGTGGGCAAAGTGGGGATGGCCGACGTCTCAGCAGAATCCTGAGGACTGCTTTACTAGGAGACATACTCCCTGTTGTCCACTGAAGAAAAATGCAC